AGTAGAAGCATTTTTTATAAATTCACATCTAAAATATTGATCAAAGTTAAGTTATTTCAAGTATTTGCTCTTATTACATGTACGTATTCTTAATGTCACCATTCCAAACAGTTTGTTAACTGCCTATTTCTCTATAAAGTTAATTTTTATTAAAATTCAGCTTCAAGAATTAAATTTTGGTAAATGAAAAGAATTGACTGAACAACACTCGACTTTAAGTGGAATATTGACATTTAGGTTCAACTTAGTCAGATTTTCCCATTTCCATAACCTTACTTATATGTGCAACACTGGCATATTGCGTTACTTCAACCAACCTTCACATGCAAAAAGTAGATATGTGGTTTTGGTGAATGCTCACTGCTAAATGGTCTTAGAATATGAAATTAAGCTATTGCGTTTAGAGAATTTCTGCCACTAGGCATTTTCATTGAGGTTTTGTTTTAACTGAAATTTTTGAGTACCTAATGGGTGTGTGATAGATTTACTCCATGTGGTGCACCCTGGGCAACCTATACTTATAGCACATAAAGTCAATAAACTGACAGTCGACTTCTGACTTCAAACTACCATTACCAAAATTGATGTAATGCTTGACCACTTCTACGGTACTCATCATACCTTGCCTTTCTCTCTACCTTTGTGGCTACCACTTATACATCTGTGAATCATTCTTCTATTCCCCTACCTCACGATTTTTTTTCATTTTGATATTCCTTCCATCTGTGAAGTTCGAAGTCAACTAAAGGTCTAATGATAACTATCATAAAACCTGTCAATTAGTACAAAATAATGATTGCCTAACTTTCACACTTCATACTTTATTAATTTTAAAGGAACTAGGAATGGTGAGTTCTTTCTTACTTCATGATCAGGTCAATTCAAATTTCATAATTTGTCCTCTTGCGAAAATCTACCTGCAGGTATTTTCGAAGTTCCTTCCACCGTCAAATTAATTGTTATATAACTCAATAGATCTGAATTCAAATTGTTTTCAAGCTAAAAGTAAACTTTCTGAAATTAAGTATTTGTGGTAAAGACGCAGTTTATATTAATAAGGAAAGTAGTTTATTTAACTTAAATTGACCTTGATCAAGAGTGAGTAGAAGAAGTTCACTCTTGCTCCGATCGAAAAGATTCCTTGTGAGATTGGGTGTAACAATTGGAGCAATGACGTTGACAGTGCAAGTTAAGTCCTTGGATAGGGGTACTTCAGCATGTGGATCAACGTTGATGGTAGCTCCTATCTTCTTTGCACCGGCAGTCTCCAAACGACCCTCAAAGACCATTGAATTTGGAAGTGTCGCTATTGCCGCGGATATCTGCAAGATTTCTAAGCCATAGAATACTTTGAAGAAAACACAGACTAAATAAGATATTTGTAAGTTTGAACTTTCCAAGAAGTGCCTAGAAGGTTAGTCATTCTTATAAATTGAATATCCGTCCTATACTGCAGTGTTTAAACTTTTCAGGAGACAAGAATCTGTGGAGCAAACAACGTCTGTCATCGCTGAACAAAGTAATCTCAAGCCCACTCAGACAGGCTTGAAGGTGTGTTCGTGAGTGCAGAGAACACACAGCCAACCACCAATCATTAGTCCTCGCATGGTTGATCGAATCCGCCATATTAATATAATGACTAATCTCCTTGTCTGCACATACCCCCACTCACGCATCACAAATAAAAGTTTTCCACATAAAACATCTGTTTTCTCTATAGCTTTATGGTAGCTTAGTTAGCTCTGGGAATCTTTCCAAGTTGTTAAGATCATTGAGCTTAGGGAAGGCTTGTAAGTGTAAGATTGAAGTGTGACAAACAGACCTTTATATTCCAGTTATAGTGTATCTGTGAGTAAGTAATATTTTTTATAAAGAGCTAGTTATATTCTCTGATGAAAATTACTGTTACATTTTTTGCCAAAAAACGAGACTTTAAGAACCTGCTGCCTTACTCTTGTTTTACTGGAAAGCAATAAGAACAGTTGAAATAAAGTAGAATCTTGATTAATTAGTGCATCGACATCAAATAAAATTGAGAAAAAAATTTCTCCAATCTAGCAGAAGGGCTGCATTTTGAATCCTCAAAGATATTCACTTGATGGAACATCTTAACTACGATAGTTATTAAATAGACAATCCCTCCATTTTAGAGTTCGCTTTGAGACAATTAAATTAGCCATTTCAGAAAATACATTTCGACATCATTGTCTAAGAAGTTTGAAGTTATAGGTGGAGAAGTAGGGGGGATAGTAATTAAATAAATAGTATATTTTGATTGAAAAAAACAGTTAATATGTTTTCTTCTAAGAATTTCACAAATATTATTTCAGGAAAGAGGTGAATGACTAAGTTGAAGA